TGACAGATCAAAGAGCTTGAGACCAGAGAGCTGCATGCGATTTTCAGCTGCAAACAAGTCACTGAAGGTTTGAGTAGCAGCCGTGCAATGTCTGTGTCACTTCTGTGCTCGGGGTGCCAGCGGGGTCTTGTACTCCTTGTTCTCTTGGAAGAACTCATTTCCTCTATATTGAGGGAAAGTGTTATTTACTATCCTGAAAAGCCAGCTTTTGCCCCAGCAACCTGCCTGCTGGGGTGTGCAGGATCCTGCCTGGAGCTCCTTGGTGTGGACCAGGAGGTGTTTGTCTGCCTTGTGTGCATTATTCTGCATTGCAGAAAACAGGAGTGCTCATCTATGCTTGAGTCTCACAGGTCTTCTTTCCATCCAAAGAGGAACAAACAGCTGTTTCAGATGTCGGTGGCTGTGATTTAGAGGCTTGTTATTTTCCAGCTTCACACAGGATGCAGTTAAAACCTTCACATAGGAGCTTCAGCTGAGACAGGCAGCAGCTCCAGGTATTTCACTGCTTCCACGGTTACTTATCCCCTTCATCTTTCAACAGTCCAGGCTTACCCAGGTACCCAAGAGCTAATTAGAGACATGATCCTTCTGCCTGTGTAGTCAGCATCTTCACAGAATCATTAAGGCTGGAAAAGACCTCTGAGATCCCTGAGCCCACCCCTCCATCCCACTGCCCACGTCCCTCAGTGCCACATCCTCTGGAACACCTCCAGGGACGGTGACCCCACCACTGCTGGGCAGCTGTGCCACTGCAGCACTGCTCTTTCTGAGAAGAAATTTTTCCTAATATCCAAGCCAAACCTTCCCTGGAGCAACTTAAGGCCAGCACCTCTCATCCTAAAGTTGTTATTTTGGAGATGAGAGCAGTGCATCTCCTCTGGCAGAGCCTCTGTGCCTTGTTCATAAAGCGTGTACCCTTGCCACCTGGACTCCTCAGTGGTTGGATGGACTGCCATTTTTCTACACGTTGGAAGCAATGTGGCAGACAGGCATGTAATTGAAAGGCAGATGGGATTTATGGTTGGATCAGAGCAGGCCCAGTGATCCATTCCTATACCTTGACTGTCAGTCTTGGTTTGCCTTCCCCTCAGACTGCAGGAGTGTCACTCTGGCTCTCTACATGTGTGCAGGAAGATTCCTTGCTGGGCTTTTATTTAGGTTTGTGAAGGTCATAGAGCATTTAACCTCAGTTTGTCAGAATCAAAAACAGTGACATCTGAGCAACTTGATCCTGTGGGCTTCGGTTTCCTACATGGGAGATGCGCTGGCAAAAGTTCAGCTGATAAAGGAAGCTCCAAGCAACTGGATTGACTTCTCATGGAGCAAAAAGAGAATTGCTCCCCAAAGAGCTGCACAGTGGGTAGCAGTGTGCTGCATCTGCTTGGTCCCCATGGCATTTTTCTTCCTTTGCTCTGCTTTGCTGAAATCTTTGACTGCTGGCAATCAAGGCTCTTGCTTGCCCTCTGGGACCAGAATAAAACATGTAGGAAATGCATCCGTGACTCGGACACAGCTCTGTCAAACTGGTAAAGGCTGTGTCTCGGGTGTCTTTACTTTTGCACCTCTGAAAATGCAGTAATGCATATTGGCTCTCTATTCAGTCTGAGGATTGTGGGCTGCTTAGTGTGCCTGGTTATGACTTGCTATAAAGTCTTTGAAATTTGACTGCAGTAAGGGCTCCAGGCATTGTAAAGCTTGCTTTTATTTGTATTTTATGCATGAGTGTTAGTGGCACATCTGCATGCTTCATAGCATTTTAATCCTACACCAAACTTTTGCACTGAAATAATTGATCTGCTTGCTGTGCTCAGGATTTATTTCTCCCAAAATCACAACAGGGAGAAAGGGCTTTCCTAGGAAGCAAGGCAGAAATGTTGGAAGATTTTCAGTACCTTTCTTTCAGATGTTGCTGCATCCTCAGTCTGATGCAGTCGAAGGGCCAGCTGGGGTGCAGGGATTTGATGTGGCTGTTGCTGAAGAGTTAGCAAGTGTTCCTTTTGCTGCAGTGGTTCTGTCTGTTCTACAGGCTGCCTGCTTTTCACTGGTCCCTCCTGGAAGAGCTGAGCAGAGCAGGCAGTGGATTAGCCATCAGAGCAGCAAACAAGGTTTGTGGGAGCAGCTGCAGGAAAATATTGACGCAGTACTGCCTTTTGTGGGGGGATTTGAGCTTTTTTAGCCTGTGAGAAACTTTCAGGAGATGATGATAACGCGTTGGGCAAGCATTCAAGGAAACTCAAACCTTTTTGTGGGTTAAGTGCTACCCAAAGCACTGGGGAGCAGCTGCCAAAGAATGGCAGTGAGAAATGGCTCTTTGTCAATGATTAAGGTGGAAACTGGGAGGGAGGAGGCAGGAGAGGAGGTGGGAACTGAGAAAGGTTTCTGTTCATGTTTGCATACCGCTATTTGTGTGGATGCCCCATCCCTGCAGGCATTCAAGGCCAGGCTGGATGTGGCTCTGGGCAGCCTGGGCTGCTGGTTGGCGACCTGCACACAGCAGGGGTTGGAGCTGGATGAGCACTGTGCTCCTTTGCAACCCAGGCCATTCTAGGATTCTGTGATTCATTCTGTGAACCAGTGATTCACAAACCCTGTGTGTCAGATATCTAGTCAAATTAAGTACTTGTACTCTGGTTGGCAAATGTAGAGCTATTTGGAAACCCACAGACAGTTTCCTAGACCTTGTTTTTGTCTAACTCTTTAATAACATCAAGTTTCTAAGGATTTGGACACTTGTAAAGGAGACTGGACATAATTTCCAACCTGAGTTGTCTTACTCCCCAAAGCAGCAAGAGAACATAATCCTATAATGAAACATGGCAATGCCAGAAGGTTACTTGCCCACTCTGTGCCAATGGGCTGTGGGCAGACTGATGCAATGTTGTTCCTGAAAGGAATCTGCTTTTCCAGGGAAATAGGAAAGTAGGATAGAGGACTGTTGAGTAAGTTGGGCAGTGCTCTGGGAGCACTGAAGGACGTTGCTGAGTTGTTGTGCACCTTATTTTTAACTTTCCATCAGGAAAAAGAAAAAAAAAGTTGCTAATGCTGAGATATATTATTTAAGGGTTTGAGAACTAGCTTGTTTAGGATTTTTAAAACAAGATGGCATTATTCTTTTCCTCCTTGTATAGATTGAGTACCTGGGAGCCACGGTGAGTCTGGCGCTGGAACATGGCTCTTATGGGGAGCAACTGAGGCAGCTGGGGTGGGTCAGTGGTGAAAAGGAGACCCAGGGAAGACCTCAACACTGTCTACAGCTCCCCAGCAGGAGGTGGTGGTGAGGTGGGGCTCAGCCTCTTCTTGCAGATCACAGTGATAGGACAAGAGGTGATGGCCTCAAGTCATGCCAGGGGAGGGTTAGATTGGATACGAGGAAAAAATTCTTCTCGGAAAGTCTGGTGATCACAGAATCACAGAATTGTAGGGGTTGGAAGGGGCCTCCAGAGATCATCGAGTCCAACCCCCAGTGATGCACTGGCACAGCTGCCCATGGAATGGTAGAGTCTCTGGAGGTGTTCCAGAGCCATGGAGCTGTGGCACTGAGGACATGGGCAGTGAGCATGGTGGGGATGGGTTGGAGTTGGGTTCGGGGATCCAACCTGAATGATTCTATGATTCTGTGCTGCCTGCACTGAAACCAGGAGCCAGTGCTCCATCCGGAGCATCCACTGTGTGTCTGGGGTTGTGGGCTCCCTGCTGAGGGCCCTGTGGGCAGGACATAGTGCTGTCTCCTTGGGGGTACCTGGAAGCCAGCCTGGAAACTGCAGGAGAGCAGCAATCCCTTTTTTCCCTGAGTGCTTGGCGATAGTCCTGGAACACTTTGATTTCAACAGATCTCTGTTATTTTGTTCTGGATTGTAATCAAAACCTTTTTTTTTTTAATGGAGAAAGTGCCAACCAGCCGAAGCTAGCCCTGATTGCTATTTGCAGCCCTTGCTAAAAAGCTCTGCCTGTTTGTTCATGTGTGAACATACCTCCCAACGTCTGCACAGCGCCAAGCGCAGTGGGCAGCATCACAGCAAAAAGACTTGAAAATGGGAATGTTGATGCTTATTTCTCTGAGCTCCTGCAAAGCTTTGTTAATCATTTCACAGTGCTTTGAGGCATAGGGCTTGTGTGGTTTCTATCTCAGCAAAGTGTGTATCAAACACTGACAGTGCTAGCGTCATTCATATTTATATTCAGTAATGATTCAGGCACTTGAAAAATCATGTTCAAATTACATGTTCTATAGCTTCAATTTCCTGTTGTTAACAAGGGAATGATTTGCAATTTCATGTTTGTCCTCCTCTATGCAGCCTGGAAGCATTGCTCAGTTTCTGTGTTGAGTGTCGCAAGCAAAGCTGGTTTCTTTTTGTATTGTCTGTTTTCCAAATCTTGTGTCTTCTAACAGTTCTCTCTAAAAAAAATATTTCAGTGAATCCTCCTGTTCTTATATACATGTACACTACTATAGGACTTGAAGCAGATAAACCTCCAGGAGATTCAATTAGGGCCAATATGTATTTATTATGGTAGCATCATAGGGTTAGCTTGTGATGATTGAGAACTGTGTTGCATTATTGTTTTTCCCTCATACCTCCCAGTAATCTATAGCCAGAAAAACATTTTGTTAGCATCGCTTGTGTCAAATGTTCAAATTCTGGCTCTGCTTTTCTCATTTGTGCTTTTTCTCCTCCTGTTTCTTCCTTTTGCCTGACATGAGACTGCTTTTTTCCTGTACTAGCATCATTTCATTCTGGGGAAACATTACATAGGTGCAGCATGGAGGAGAGGAAGTGGAATAGGAAGCTCTGGTCCCTTCATACATGAGCAATGGGCAGAATGAATTCAAGTATGCCTTACAAAGATCCAAAAGCAATTTGGGATGTTTTCCCAGTTACACAAACCGAACACAATGCTTGTCCTACACGCATGCTCAGGAGGCTGATCTATGCACTGTGTGAACAGGAGCACTAAGATATGTTGTTATTAAACCTTCTTCCCTTCCCACCTTCAAACAGCTTGTCAAGGGGCTGCAGCAGGAGCTGAACCGCCTGTACACACTGTTCTGCTCTCGGAACCCAGAGTTTGAGGAGAAAGGAGGGAAAGTCTCCATTGTGTCCCACTCTCTGGGCTGTGTCATCACCTACGACATCATGACTGGCTGGAACCCGGTCAGCCTGTATGAACAGTTGCTGCGGAAAGAGGAGGAGGAGCTTGAAGACACTTGGATGAGTTATGAGGAGCGGCGTTTGCTTGAAGAACTTTACATAACCAAACAACGGTAATGCATCCACTTTGGTTATGAAAGGATAAAACCACAGCCCTACGTGACGCCCTTTGGGTGTTTCCAGAACCCACCATAGCTCTTGTATTTTGCAGCTGATGTTCCTCTGACGATGCTGAACGGCGGTGGTAGATGCTAACCGCAGAACTAAGCAGGCAGGGAGCTGGCAGTGCTAATGAGAGCTCTGAATCCGTATCCTACAGACTATACCAAACTCAAACAAGTAGCTGCTACTCACTGCTCAGATGTGCTGGGAGCTCCTAGCCAAGAAGAAAGGACAGGGTCAGGCCATGAGCCCCGCAGATATTTGAGGTAGCTCACAGGTGTGCAGTGAGCTGAAACACGCAGAACCTGAGCAGCGAAATGCCAGAGTCTCTGGAGAAAAACAAGAAGTGTTCTCTGAGACTGAGCTTGGAAATTGAGCTCCACCAGCTGGGTGCAGATGTTGTGGTTGCTGTGATTGGGCTTAGGGGATTACTGTTCTGCTGCAGATCATTTACCAGTTTCTGCCTGCTGCCATTTAGAAATGTTAATGCAGTTCTTAGTGCAGAGCAGCACTGCCCATTGTGACAGATTGGATCTTGGTTTCATTACCTTGCAGGTGTTGGTAGGGATTTTCAGGATGAGGTGACCATGTAGATAATCACTCTGCCCTCACACTGTTATGGTGCTTTCTCTGTTCTAACCTGGCTTTCAGGGTACTGTGAGACTCTATAGACAGAGAATCTAATGATGAACATGGGAGCATGAATTTCAGTCTTTCCAGTGGTGCTTTGGGAACGTTTGTATTGCATCAGATCCACTGTGCCTGAGATCAGTATGTGTGTAATTAGGGATGGGTACAGGACATCTCTAACAGCTGCAGGGCTGGATAAAGTGTGATCTTTCAGAAAGTAGAGAAGTAAAAGACCCAAAAATCGTGCCCAGGGGTAAGGTGACCCTACAGGCATATTACTGATGGAAAATTACAGTTTTTATAGCCATGCTCTGGCTCCTTAGGTATGCAGATGCATTTCACTTTTCATCCCAGTAATCCGAGTACCATTTGACACAGGCACTTGTGTGATAGTGGCTCCCTTGTTCACAGGCCATCGTAGTGTCATTCAGTCTGGAATGGTAAAGGATGTTTCTATCTTCTGAATTTCTGGTGTTGCAGGGCTCTCAAACATGTAGTGGATTTCTGAAAATACTTATGCCTGAGTGAGGTGTGTGACAGCGTGCATAAATATACTGCATTGTAGAGCGTGAGCATATAGATTTTATTTATTGGAACCCTTCAAGAGCAGCTTACAAGAGTCAAGAATTCTGCATGCCTCCTTTTTTAAGACCAAATCACATTCATTGAAGCATACTGACTGGTTGAGAGGAATACTCTTCAAAAAGCTTTAGCTCCAGACTAGTATCTTTCTAATCAGGGCGACAGAGGTTAACCTTCATATTTTTGCTTGCAGAATGCTTTAGGAGAACTTGAAGAGGTGCTTTTTGCTGCTTTGACAAGGGCATAATGCTCTAGTGCTGGGTTAGATGTTGTTCATCCCACAGACTGGTGAAAGATAAAGGACCCTTTTTAGAGATAGCTGAAAATGCGAGACCCTGTCCTTCAGATATTCCACTGCAGTACAGAACTCCATAATGGGCCATGGATTCTCCTGTGGCTGTGGCTGAACAAAACAAACTAAAATGGATCCAAGTTGAAGGAGGGAAGATTTAGGTTGGATGTTAGGGGGAAGTTCTTTACAAGGAGAGTGGTTGGGCCCTGGAACGGGCTGCCCAGGGAGGTTGTGGATGCCCCGTCCTTGGATGTGTTCAAGGCCAGGTTGGACGGGGTCCTGGGCAACCTGATCTGAATGTGTGTGTTTGGTGGCCCTGCTAGGCAGGGGGGTTGGAACTACATGATCCTTGAGGTCCCTTCCAACCCGGGTGATTTTGTGATTCTGTGATTCTGTGAAAATCAGGTGATGTGGCTGCAGAAACCGCGGAAGCAGGAGGTGAATCACCTGCTCCTGAGCAGGGAGGATGGGCAGATGCTTGGGGTGATGAATGTCTTGATTGATTCCTCCTGTGGTCAGAGGAACAGGATTTCACATGCATTGATTCTTAATCAACTGGGCTGCCTCAGAGGAAGAAACAACGCAGTCACTCTCTCTGCCTAACAGGCAAACTGTTGGACCTTCCATCAGTGCCTGTTTGGATCAGGTCCCTTAATACGTCTGCATTGTTCTGTCTCAGAAAGATCTCCTTATTTTCCAGGTTGAAAGAGATAGAAGAGAGGTTACAAGGCTTAAAGGCATCCACCATAGCGAAAACACCTGTCTTAAAATTTAAGGTATGTATATCTAGATTTTCACTGAATGTCCTAATCACACTAAAAGCACACTTGCAGTTAGAATTATTCTACTTTCTTTTTTTTCCCATGTCACTAGACATTGGTAAAATGGCATGAATGTGTGTGGATGTACATAAACACACTACTAGATTCATGTGCTACTATTTGTTACAAGTATATATGTTCCTATGTGAATACATAACCCAGTGTTTGAATAGCTATCACACTACACACACTTGTGGGAAGGTAAAAACCATTTGACAGATTGCACCAATCACATACCTTGAACAACTGTACTTCTTCTTTGTCATTTGAACCATCTGCCCTTGGGACTGCTTCTAACACATCACACCTCTGAGTCAGTCGGAGTGAATTTCCTCCAGCAGTGGATTTTCCTTCAGAATTACTCTGGCCTGACAGGTAGGGCAGGTTACTTCTATACTCATGAAAAAGACTGCTTGCTAATTGGCTCTGTCAATTGCTAGAATTTCATGGCATTGGAAAAAGACATTTCTAGCTTTGTGGTGGGATGTGCAACGCTTTCTGGTTGCTCTGCTATATCCTAAAATATGAAACAATAAAAATGTGACGTGGTAGATAAGAAGAAAATAGATTATTGTTCTTAACTTGCCGTTTGTCTTTCCTTCTGAATTCAGAAGCACCCCCAGAAGCCAAGGTCAATCTTGAGCCGTGAAAAAGAGGAAACTAGCTGTAATTCAATTTGTCATAGCCTCCTTCTTTTATCACGGCTTAAAAACGCATGTTGTGCTATTATCTCTACCATCAAAGAAGCTGGAGTCAGACATACTGCTCTTGCTGTGTGCAAAGATTATTCTTCACTCAGCTGTGTTTAAACTGAAGGTTTCTTTGAACAGATGCTTTTTAGAGAGAGCAGGAGGGGCGGGGAAAAGAAGGCAGAGAGAAGAGAGAACTATATCCAGATTACTCTTAGGTAATTTCCCATTGATGTGCATCCTTTTTCTTACCCTTACTGAAAAAAAACAAAAAGACATTTTGTTTTTTTTATGTCAGTATTCCTATCGTAGAGCAAAGCTAATGACGCCTCCTGCTTGAGTACTGTGCATGGGACAGACCTCAAGGGGAAGAAAGGAGACCTCAAGGGGAAGAGGAAGGCTTTCCATGAATGTGATAGCAAGGTGCTCCTGCTAAAGGATGATTTCTGCAGGATGTCATTGAGAGATGATTGCTCATCAGCAAGCTTCCTGAGGGTGACTAGCTTGTTGAAAGAGAAGTAACTGCTTTGTAGGCACTGACTACCAAGCACCATGGCTCTTGGCAGACAGAGCTCTCATAGGATCTTGAGTTGTCATTCACTGCAAGTGCTTGATCCACAAATTGCTTTGAGCTGTGCAGTGCAGGAGGCTGGAGTCTTTGATCCCTGATCTCTTAGGCTGTCATACACAGCCAGGTGGCTACGTGCAGTTGTAATGGAAAGGACTAGCCAGAATATGAACATGTGGGGAATGGTGTAATACCTGCTTCTGCTTAACATTAAAATGAATCCATTAGGTCTTCTGTTCGTGAATCATAACCAGGAGAAAAGTGCTATCCTGAAAAGTGGTGTTCTTAAAAATTGCTTCTCTGTTAAACATTTACAGGAGTGTATGTGGAGTGCCTCAGTCCTGCTTCATGCAGGAACACCAAAATTGGTAGATGCCACTTTGCTACAGTGCTAAGCGTCTAATGACTGCAATTTAAAGGGCTTTATTTTTGGAAGGCTTGCTTTTGATTTTTAGCGTTGGTATTGATTTATTGCCACCCTTCAAGGTACCCTGCAGTTGGCACTTTGTCTTTGTGAACTTTACCAGAGATGGAAGATCATGTTGAAAACTTGTGTGTGGAAGAAAATAATACAGCAAAGAATGCTGTGCTCCAAGAAAAATCTGTCTATGGACACTGCTAATGTTTATTGATAGAAACCTGCACCTCGTGACCATTTAAATTATTTACCTTTTTAAGGATCTTTGCATGAGGAGAATTCTGGGAAGTATCTGCCAGCAAATGTCAGCTGGCAGTCGCTTTTTGATTTCTTTCTGAAGCACAAAGACCATAACTGTGTACTCCAAATGCTGTATATGGGCAAGTCAGATGGACAGGGTTGGAAGTGATGTACTCACTTCAAAGGGTAACACAGTGAATATCTGTTTCTATCGTATTTGAAGATGAGAAGGCTTTTTGTCCAAACTGCAGAAATGTGAGGGTCTCTGTGAAGATTAATTGAAAGAAGAGCTGCTTTGAACCAGACTGGAGTAATACTACAGATGACAGTGATCTGTGCTTTGCAGCATATGACACTGAATAGCTCTGCTGAAGACCTAGGGCTTTTTTCCATTGAATTGGAGCTCGGACATTCTTTTGGAAGGAAGAGGTGGAGTACCAGCGCCAAGTCAGAGGAGGAGGAATGTTTTGTTCAATGCTGGAATCTGGTAGATGAAATGGACCATTATTTCCACACCCTCGCTCCGTGTGCTGACATACAGCAAAGGCGTGTGGGAATCCAGGCGTTCACCCAGCAAGAATAAACTCCTCTCACCAGTTGAGTAGCAGCACGCTGACAGTGCCTTGGTTGCAGTGCCCTGCAAACTGGTGCTACTACTGGGAAAGTGACAGTGAAGCTGGTACAATGATCAAACCAATTTTTCATATAAGAAAACATTTTAAAGGTTGAGAAGTAATTTTGATTTTGAAAAATATTTTTCACTACAGAGTTTTATATTTGATGTTCCTCGGAGACAATATCTGAGGATTGGTGATGGGATACAAAGGCATTCACCTCTTGGTCACTGTTGAATCCTGGCCTACGTTGGCAGTGACCAGAAGTCAGCACCACTGATGAGTGCTCAGTGATGTATGTCAGATGGGTTCATGGCTGCAGTGCAGGTTTGCTCTGCCTGCCTGGCAGTGCTGAGAGCAATCCTTGCAGAGCAAGTTGCAGCAGCTTTGCACAGCGTGAGCTGCAAGGTAGCTCAGTGTGCTGTGCTCAGGCAGTGCTTCTGTTTGTGACGTGTGACACTTCTGATGAGCACCATTCTGTTCACTTAACACCGGGTATTTGCAAGAGGTTGTACATATCACCAGCTTGTATGTGTGTGTGACTACCAGGAGGGTTTTCTGTAGGTCATCTCCAGTGCTCAGTGTAGTTGCACTGATGGCTTCTGTAGCAAAGTGAGTCAAGGAGTACTAGCTGAGGATAAGGTTATGGAGCTGTGGTGAGCTTTGAAAAGTTGCATGAGAAGCAGACTTTAATGATGTGAAACACATCACATTTCTTTCCTTGGTGTCTTCTAAGTTCTTGTATTACTCCTTCCAGTGTTGGTAGACTTCTTTCAGTTCAAATACCCAACATAGTTTCCAATTCTCAAACGTTGCAGCATCACAACATGTAGCTCTCTTCTCACAGCAGAAAAAACCAGGAAACTTAACTTGTTATGTTACACTATGTATATTACAGTGCTCTTCCCTGTTTTAATTTACCAATACTATACAAGTCCCTTGGTTGAAACAGAGAGAAATCAAATCCAGCCATGTTAGAAAGCATTATTTCCACCCTCATTCAGGCAGATGAAATCTCTCCTTAGGTTGAGAATTTCTTCTGTATGGGATCTCCACTAGCAGTGTTTTTGGCATTGCGTGGCATCCGTCCAGGAAACAGTGGGAGTCAAGATCATATTCTGCCCAGAACAATTTGTAACCGCTTACTGAATATCTTTCATCCAACAGATCCAGTGGTGAGTTGTAATTGCAGTTGCAAGCTTTTACCTTTTTTTGTTTCTAAGTGTTGGCTGTGTGATAATGAGTTCTTCAAAGTGTGTGAGTCGACACACGTGTGTTCCTGCACTGCACTGGCTGTTCATGATTGCTGTGCATATCTCGGGTTTTGTAGCAGTTGAGAAGCATTTGCTGCAAATGGTTGCCTTCAGTATCGTGCACTTTGCTTCTCTTTTCAAATTAATAAGGGTAAAATTTGAGTGTGCTCAACTTGCTTTTTTGCAAAGACGTGAAATAACCCTTCAGTCAAGTTCCAACTTGGCTTTAGCTTACTGGCTTCCATTAAATGTCATAGATCCAAATCTACTACTGCCATCATAAAAAGGCTTCACAAGCAGTTCGCAGAATACTGTAGAAAAACAAAGACGCTGTCGTTTTCCCTAAGGGAGTAACAGATTGTTGGAGGGTGGGATAGGCCTTGGGAAGGAAGTATTGGTATAGCTTTGTGCTGTCCTTGTGCTCCTCCATAGGCAGCCAGTGTTAGCTGTCATCAAAGGCAGGATGTTGGGCCTCTGATCCATACGGCCTTGGCAGCCTCTTTGACAGGAGTCTGACTGGGGAGTTTCATGCTTTCCTATCCAGACTCTGGTATATGGTATTGTAGTATAGTCTGGTATATAGTATAGGGTATATAGATTTCAGTCTTGTCACTCTGTTTTCTTTCCTGAATTCCTCTTGCAGGCCTATAGATTAGAACCTTTAATCCTGAAGCACTACAGCAACATTTCACCAGTCCAGATCCACTGGTACAACACCGCAAACCCTCTACCTTACGAGCATATGAAGCCAAGTTTTCTCAACCCAACAAAAGAACCTACCTCAGTTACGGATGGTGAAAGTGCTTCAACTGTACCAAGCCCAACTACTTCACCAGTCATGGTTCGGCGCCACTACGGGGAGTCCATAACCAACATAGGCAAAGCCAGTATACTGGGTAATTGCTCCTTGTCCCTTTTTCTGCAGGGGTCTTCTCACACAGCATCACTGCTATGTGATGTTTAAGGTCCAACTGTCAGCGAGTCATTCCTGCCTGTTTTCAGTGCTTGTTTTCCTTGGGGTGCATTGCTTGTTCTAATCCAAACTAACATTTGCTTTGAAGAAAAGGCAGTTTACATAATACACTGAAGTCAAGGAAAGGATGCGTTGCAGGGAGAGGATGTGGGTCGGAGAGTTTATGCTATTGCCGCTTTACTGTCTGCCTTCTTATGGTAACATCCTGGGGGCTTCATATAATTTCCACTGTGCTTCATGTTTTGAAATACTTTGAAGCTTGTTTTGTGTTTGCGTTCTGTGGTATTGACAAATAGAAGGAAAAAAATCACTCCGTATAGGTTAAATGGAACCCAATACTTTATAATTTTACCAAGGGAGATTCAGGCTAGTTCACTGTGAAGTCTGTCCCTTTCTGCCTTTCTGAATCAACTTTCCGAATCAGAGTAAGCCCTGATTTAGTAGAGCTTAAAATCACTTGCACTGGAGCTTATATTTGAGCACGCACATGCAGTTTTTGTTGACTCAAGGACTTTCTTTAGCTCTCTGTGTGGGATCTGGAAGAAGGTTAGTGTGACCTAGTGCAAGAAATCCTGCCAACCCAACAAATAGAGTGTATAAAAGCAGTTCAGTCCTTAAGTGAAAGCGTGCAGCATTTCAAAGCAGCGTTCTCTCACAGTACACTGCTTTTTGCTGTTTTACTACAGCAACTTCAGTGTCTCGTCCATACGGTGGCAGCAAAGTCAGAAGAAAACATCTCAGATCTGTTCCTAGCTTTTACACCTTTCTTCCTGAGCAACCAAAGGAGTCGGATTGAAGGACGATAGAGCATTTCTAAAGCTCTGTAGGGGTTATTTCATCGTGAGGACCACAAACAAAAGAAGTCTCTTCAATATTCCCATGGGATTCTTAGGTTCAGAAGGCAGCATCACGGTTATGAAACATTTGTCTTGAACTTTCTATAAAGGAGGTATTACAACGCAGACTTAAAAATTCCGGATTCCTTTCTGCAAAAGCATTCCCATCTATTTTTTTGTTCCCCGTAACAACAAGTTCCAAATTACAGCCTTTGCCTGTCCACTAGATTAGCATCGTGATAAACAGTGTAGACTTCAGTCAGATAAGCTGTTCCCACCCTAGAAAAGCATGAATAGTGTTTTCCATCACCCCGCTCTAATTGACGGGCGCAGCGGCGGCTTTAATTTGCAGTTTGAATTGGCTGACCTCGTGCTTGTTTTCCTTTTGTTTGTTTGTTTTTGCTGAGCTCAGGAGCTGCGAGCATTGGGAAGGGCCTCGGAGGGATGCTGTTTTCGAGATTCGGTCGCTCAAGTACGCAGACTGCAGAGCCAGGAAAAGATGGAGCGGAAGGGGACGACAAGAAGAGCGCTGTGGGAACGCCACCTTTCTCACAGAGCAGCTCGGGCTTCCTCGAACCCACGTGTTAGTGACTAGCACACCTTACATCCCTTGTGGGAGCAGCATCTCCTGCGTGTGTGTCTTGTGGGAGTGAGTGGAGAGAGCCCAGCATAAGGCCAGCGAGGTGCTGCAGGGCCTGAAACAGCTCTGCTGTGAGGAGGGCAGAGAGCTGGGGCTGCTCAGCCTGGAGCTGAGGATACTCAGAGATCCCACCCGTGTCCGTTAATACCTGAAGGGAGGTGTGGGGAGGACAGAGCCAGGCTCTGTGCTGTGGTGCCCAGTGCCAGGCCGAGAGGCAGCGGGCATAAACTGGAGCACGGATATTCCCTCTGGCCATCACTCTGTGCTGTGCGGGTGGCAGAGCACTGGAACCAGCTGCCCAGAAAGGCTGTGGGGTCTCTCTTTGGAGATCTCCAAAAACCACCCATGCACAGTGCTGGGCTCCAGCTCTGGCTATCCCTGCTTGAGCAGGGCAGTGGACCACGTCAGCTCTAGAGGTCCCTTCCAGCCTCGGCCATTCTGCGATTCTCTCAAGGCTGTGCAATTACTGACTTTGTTCTCCCTGTTATCTTTTTTTTTTGTCCTCTTAAAAAACATTTATCTGTGTATTTGTGCCTGTCACATATGCTCACACATCTATGTGTGTGTGAGTTTTAGCTAACGAAACCTGTCCATCAGTAGTTCCTAGACTATCTCTAGGGAAAGCAAAATGATTGCTTCAAGAATTTCAGCCTCTGTAATGAAATGGATTTATGTAAATTTGCCCATACATTTGCAGTTCTGAAGCAATCTCTATTTAAATGCAGGTATGGCTGGAAACAGAGGCTGTCCTTGTCCTGCTGTGAACCCCCCAGAGCACAGAGTGCAATTTTAGCAGCTGGGTTATTTTTTTAAAAGTACATATACTTCCTTTACAGACATTCATACTTTATTTTTAAACTTCTCATCTCAAGGCGGGGCTTTTGCAATCTAAGCAGTCACAAGCATTAGCACTGTTGTATCTTGTGATTGCATTCACATGATGCATTGCAGTCTGTTGATTGCTGCCACTTCCAGCAGATAACCTGCCTGAGTCACTGCTGTGGACAGAGAGTTGGTTTTAAACTTCAGGGAAATGGAGTGGTGTGACAGCCAGCACTGTGGAGCTCTTGATGAGGTCCCTTTGCATGGTGGCACGTTGAGGTCTCCTGCACAATTCCCACATCCCACTTTGCTGAAATCCCATCTGCAGTGCTGTGTCCAGTCTGGAGCCCCCAGTACGGGAAAGACAGAGAGCTGTTGGAGAGGGTCCAGAGGAGCCACAAAGATGAGCAGGGGGCTGCAGCACCTCCCCATGAAGATAGGGTGAGGGAGCTGGGCTTGTTCAGCATGGAGAAAAGAAGGCTGCAGAGTGACCTCATGGCAGCCTGCAGTACCTAAAGGGAGCCTGCAGACAGGAGTGGAGTCAGCTCTTGGAAAGGGGAGATGACAGCGGGACAAGGGGAAATGGTTTGGAGTTGAGGGAGGGCAGATGGAGGTTGGCTGTCAGGGGAAGTTGTGTGCTGTGAGAGTGGTGAGGTGCTGGAACAGCTGCCCAGAGAGGCTGTGATGCCCCGTCCATCCCTGGAGGTGTTGAAGGCCAGGTTGGATGGGGCCATGGGCAGCCTGGGCTGCTGTGAAATGTGGAGGTTGGTGGCCCTGCATGGCACAGGGGGGTTGGAGCTTCGTGATCCTTGAGGTCCCTTCCAACCCGGGCCATTCTGTGATTCTGTGAAATCCCGTCTATAGGAGGAGAACTTGGAGCAGAGGCCACGAATCTGTGGGCAGAGTGATGCAATCCATGGCCCGAGTGTCTGCTTCCGAGAGAGTGGCCGCACGGCTTGCAGTGGGGTTTGGCTTCCTCCCAAGCTTCTGTAACAGAGACGGGTTTGGTCGGGGTGTTTTTGCTGCAGAGCGACTGGTTCTGAATGCATGCATCTCAGTGGAAATGACTGTGGTTGGCTCCTGGTATGCAGAGGCTCCGACTCCCTTTCCTTGCTGTGTTTGGAAAGCAGCGGAACGCCGCTGTGAGAGACGAAGGGCTGTCACTCCCCCGTGCTGCTGTGCCATGACCGCGGAGGCAGCGCTTGTTGTGATGCTCCATTTATGCTCTCTCCCAGCCAAGAATTAAAATTCCTTGAAATTGCCTATGATAAATGGCTGCATTTTTTACTCAATATGGGGTTTTGGCTTTTGTAGCTATGCAGGCTTTTAGTTTTGTCCTTTTCATTCTGTTGCTCCTTGCAGAGATTTTCTAACCGCTGAAGTGCCTTCGCAATAGGTCAACCATCCCAGTGAAACGCGCAGCAAGAATTGCTCTGAATGTGGTATTAATCAAAGCAGCCGTTACAATGGAAAGATAACTGCTGAAATGTATTTGGAATAATCTGGAAATCAAAAAGAGCTATGGTTTTCTGAAAGCACGTCGTGCTGCATGTAGTCTGAATAGGGATTCAGCTGCCAGAGGTACAACAGATCCCTTCATTGCTGCAGGCTCTGAGCATCCCCCTCCTGACAGAGTTTGCTGACGGGATCTCAGCATCTCCTGGTTATTTCTGTGCAGTTTTCATAAGGAGCATAGATTAATTTCTATAATCAGCATAGAAAGATTATATACAGTTACCTAAATATATATATATACCAGCTCTTTTCAAGCTTTAGGTTTGGTTTCTGCAGAATCAGAACGTAAAGGTGGCAGACAAATAAGCAAGGATTTCTTTTCCTTCCACTGACATACAGTTCTAACAGCGTTTCTCCTTCTTCTCCAATTTCTAGTGGAACTGGAGCACAGGATTGATTTCGAGCTCAGGGAAGGTCTGGTGGAGAGCAGATACTGGTCTGCAGTCACGTCGCACACTGCCTATTGGTCATCTCTGGATATTGCTCTTTTCCTCCTCACCTTCATGTACAAACACGACCAGGACGATACTGACAAATCCAGTTTGGACGCTATCTGAATTTTTGACTGGGGGTTGGGAGGGATGGGAAAGGAAATCTGAAAACCAATGGCACAAAACAGATGTTAAACCGCAGTATGTATGGCATGGAGGTTTCAGGTTTAAGTGCATGTTTGGGTTTTTTCCTGTTTCTAAGGAGCAAAAACGATTTGTATGGAAAAGCACTTTATAGTTTCAAACGTTTTGCAGTGCTTAATCAGACCTGAGGTTGTTCCAAATTCCTGTTGACTTTGCATAAAAAGACAACGCAACGTGCAGCACCACTTAGGCACCATCGTGCATTGTGCTCGGGTGACATTCTTGTTGATGACCATAATTGCTGTTCAGTTCATTAAAGTATAAAAAGAGGAGTTGATTTAAAAAAAAAAAGCGAAATTAATTTCCATTAACGAAGTATGTGTTACTTACAAACCTAAAACTGCCATGTTCCAATGTCGTGTGTGTCAGTCAGTAACGAACGGTGGTGTCGTTTCTCTAGGATCTGTTCAGCTCCACATCCTGTTACCCACAGTACCATTCTGAGGGCTGGCTGCTGGGCCGTGTTCTGCGTGGCACGTGGAGAAACCAACGCTGAAAAGCACCACGAGGATCTGAAATACTGTAATTATAATTTATTATCTCCGTTTCATTTTATCCCAGTGTATAAATCATTACTTTTTTACTGGTTTCTTTTGACATAATTTAAGAACCACGTTTATTTTCTACAGCGTTAAGACTTTTTCTCAGAAATGCATATCTTTGTACTACTATTCAGATGAATATATGGACACTGTGGCACACTTTAAGTATTTTTTCATTAAAATAAATATTTGTGGTTTCACACAAATGACGTTAATCACCTTCTTCTCAAAGGTGAGTCACTGCTTGGCCAGGTCCCACGTGTCTCTGAAACGTATGAAGGCTTTGATCTCAGTGTGTAGAGGGTGCCTTTGCCATGAGTAGAGTGAATATATGTGTGTTTCTGTATGGAAACATATATTTGTCTGTGTATATAGACGTGCAAGGAGCCGTCAAGAGGAAGGAGAGCAGCAGTATATAAACTTGGTGAGACCTGAGGATACCAGAACTTAGATTGGATTCGCATCTGAAACTAATTCAGGAGCCTCCAAGAGGGATGTGTTGTGATGAAAGGAAATGTCTCCCAATGAAACACTACAAGGTCACTGCTGGGATCTGAAGCCATGCACAGCTCTAGAGCAAAGTGCCAGATCCACAGCCTCTGCACTGCCTCTGGCTGGGGTATCTGTGGTCTGTATGGCATGTTTAGAAGCTGCAGAATCTCAGCTTTCCTTTGCAAAGGATGAGGCCGTGGTGTCAGCAGATAGCCGCGTTCTCAATGTAAACAGATGTGGAACCAGCAGCCCCAACCAGCATCCTTCAATCCTGGAGTTTGGGAGGGGGAGGGCAGCAGCGCTGCTGCTTGGGCTCTTGTTTGTGCCCGAGTGTGTGGTGCAATGGGGGAGGAACGGGGCGTGAGGCTGTGTGTTGTGGTTAGGGATTTAGCAGCAATTACAAAGGGATAAGCAGTGCAGAGGGGGTAAAGGGAGGAATGGGAGGTGGGGGGGAAGGGCAGAAGATGATGGGAACGGTGCTGCTATAAATGCAGCAAGACATTGGGTCTGTGGAACTCTGGCTATTAAATCCTTTTGGCCTCAGTGAATGTAACATGCCTGGCAAGTTCACCTTGTTTGATGAGTAATCATTAAAAATTCAGGTCTGCCCTTTAAGCGGAGGGCAGTTTGACACCTCCAGAAAACAGGCTTTTGTTTTTGCGGCTGCTTTCCTTGTTCAGTCAACCCTTCTTAATTAGGAGAACTTGAACATAAAAGGAGAATCCCCTTTTATATTTGGAACATGCAAAACATTTCCGAATGCGCCCTGTTTGTGCTCGGGGTTGGATGGTGTCACAGCTGCTGGATGGTGTGCACAGCTTTCCAGCTCTGCATCTCCACGAGATCTTGTTTTCAGCGCTGCGAGCAGAGGGGGTTAATTCCTACAATTCTTGTGGTCTGCGTAAACTCTGCCGTTGTCCAGAACATGTTTCAGATTTATGGGATGGCTCTTTTCCCCGCACCGGGACGTGCTGGAGCCTGCGGAGCGCGCTCCATATAAGGGCTGGGATCCTGGTGTACCTCCTGTGTACCTCTGGGGCAAGCAGGGAGAGGGGCAGGAGCTGAGCATGGCCTTGCCTTCATCCTGCTCTCATGGAGTGGATTCTGGTCCAGCACTTGAGAAGCATTCCTAACATTGAGACAAAGACGACGCGCCTGAGGAATTAAACGGAGGTTTATTCTAAAGTGCACACAAGCGTACGATGCGTGTTATAGGCTGATTTTCATCTTTCTAATTCTCAAAAAACCTCTCTTCCCCTCTTGCAAAGATGATTTGCTCTTTGATAGCGGCACTTTAAAGCCATTTGACAAAAAAAGGGCTGCCCCATGTCTGCAGCACAGCACAGCCTCGAGCAGAGCCCCATCACTGCATGCTGGATTCTAAATTTCACGCTTAAAACTTTCTGGTCAGATGGCCTGCTGCAGAATATAGAGCTGGAATGTGCTGGCTTCCAATGACCGACTTGTTTTCATTCGCAGAGTGATGTTTAGCCTTACGAGCTGTGTTGGCGGGTGGTTTTTCTTGAGAACCCAAGATAAGGGCAGTGAACCGCCTTGCTGTCGTCTCCTGACTGATCCTCAGCTGTTTTCCTACACTCGTCCTTCCTTGTCCAAATTTGATGCTCACTGCTTGGCTGTCTTTTTTAATACGAGGTCATTTTGCAAATAACCTCTTTCAATTTTTTGAATTATTGTACTGAATTTCATCCCTTTGCTCCTAATTCTTCCATCATAGCTGCTAGGTGACCAGCAACAGGGCGAGAGGTGATGGCCTCAAGTTGTGCCTGGTGAAGTTCAGGATGGATATTAGGAACAGCCTCTTCTGTGCAGTGGCACAGCTGCCCAGCAGTGGTGGGGTCACCATCCCTGGAGGTGTTCAGTGGAGATGTGGCACTGAGGGACGCGGGCAGTGGGATGGTGGGGTGGGCTGGGGTTGGCCTTGGGGATCTTGGATGTGTTTTCCAGCCTTAATGATTCTGTGATTCCATGCTTGCATTCTGCTGCTGCTTTATTTTGCGGTGACAGCCCAGCTGGCCACGTGCAATTATTTCAGCTCCTTATCAGTCTGAGGCTGATCAGAAAGAAGTGTCCATTCTCATGTCTGTATTCCACCTGGTTGCCACCTCCTGCACGATTCTGTTTGTCCTGCTGCTCCTTTCCCACACCACTCATGCAGAGCTGGCTGTGCCTCGAGCTGAATGGTTGGGAATTGATTTCTTTTACTTCATTCATCACTATGTCAACTGTTTGCGGTTAGATAGTTAATGTACCTTTGTGTGCCCTCTGCCCCACGAGTTTATTTCAAATGTCATTCCCTTTCCTATTTTCCTGTTGTTGGCTTGGAGTTGAGGTTTCTGCCTCAGAGTCCCTCTCTGATGTCTTCGCTGATTTTCATCGAATCACAGAGTGATTGGAGTTGGAAGGGGCCCTTCAAAGCCCTCTGGCTCCCCTCCCTGCAGTGCACAGGGACACCTACAGCTCCATCAGTGCTCACAGCCCATCCCCTGACCCTGGGTTTCTCCAGAGATGGGGCAGCGCCACCTCTCTGGTCAACCTGTGCTGTGCTCAGCATCTGTGGTGTAAAAAACTGCTTCCTTATATCCAACCTAACTCTCCCCTACTTTAGTTTGAAACTATTTCCTCTTGTCCTATCACAACAGACCCCATTAGAAAGTCTGTCCCCCTGATTGCCATCCATGCAACAGTCCCATTTTCTGGTTTATCAGCCTGACATTTGTATTAAACTCTGCATTTTGCCTGCACTTAATAAGCATTTTCCAAAAAAGCAAACTTTGTCCGGGTTTATTTTTCCCTCCCTCTTCCCCAGGTACGTTTCAGTACCACTTCCCTACTGCCCATTATCTCAAACCTCTTCTGAAGATTTCTGATCTAATTTCTGCTTTGAATTCAGTTTGCTGGCATTGAAGCTTGCTTGCTGCAGCACAGTCTGTGCATTCTCAAGATGTACAAGTTGAAGCCCTGCAACCCATTTGAAATCCAAGAGACATTTTGCTGTCGTGATCCAGGAGACTTCTCCTAGAGCTCAGTGTCAGCTCAGCCCACATGGATGCATTCATCCTCGAGGATGATAAAATCCTAGAATGTTTGGGTTGGAAGGGACCTCAAAGCCCACCTATTTTCAAGCTCCTGCCACGGAGTTATGGAATGGGTTGGGTTGGAAGGGACCTCCCAGCCCCCCATTCCCACCTCTGCCATGGGCTGGCTGCCCCCCACCAGGTCAGGCCCAGAGCTCCATCCAACATGAACAATTTGAGTGTGCACATTCAGTGTCTCCAAAGAATAGGGAAAGCCCCAATATGCCTGGCTGTTGAGCTTCTAGATCACCCTGGAGGTCAGTGCTCTCTGGTCCCATTAGAAAACAAATTCCACTCTCAGCCCTTCTACTGAAGATGCCCCATCTCCCTGCAGCAGCCCTCAGCTGCATCCTTTCTCTTTGGGTGTGAGAAGTCGCTGAGTCCACAGCAAACATGATGCCATGGTTCTCCATGCCTCATTGATCCCAAGTGTGGAGGTGGGAGAGGTGACGTGCAAACCTCCCTGCCCCGAGCTCTGCAGACCCCACACCTGCTTTGTTCTTCTTACTTTCATGGCTCTTTCAGTTTCTCTCAAAGTCTGTATCACATCCCAGAGCAATGCCATAGTTTGCAGTTGAAGAGCAGCCTCTTGAAGGGTCTTGACATTTCACTGTGCTGTTTGATAAAGAAGATTCTTGGCCTCCAGTTTAAAACAAAATGTCAAGTTTGTTTGTGCTAAAGTATCTAGTTTGGGGGTTTTAACTACTTTCTGTAGCTTGTAAGAAGTCTCTTTCAGCATAGGTTTTGAATTAGTAATAGCTGTTTGAAGTAGAAATGACTTCATCTTATCCAGTTCCTTATGAATCCAGACTTTTGCCCTCTGATTTGCCAGCACAGCACAGGGAGTGGTGGAGTCACCGTCCCTGGAGTGTTCCAGAACCGTGGAGATGTGGGTCTGAGGATATGGTCAGTGGGCATGGTGGGGCTGGGTTAGGGCTGATCTTGGAGGTCTTGGAGAGCACCCACAGCTCTCTGGGCAGCCTCTGACACTCTTGGCAATGAAGCCAGTGGACCACATGTTCCACAGTGCGTTCTCCACGTTTCTGCTTCCAGAAGTGAGTTTCCACAGTGGAAAAGAGAACTGTGAATGATTGAAGAGGATGGGTTGGGTGGGCTGGTGGAAGTGGGCACAGGGCGGCGATGCCCATGGGGCTGCAGTGCAACATGGGGATTTGCAGGGCTTCATTGCTGGGAGCCAGGCTGGGCAGGATGCTTCCCAACAGCTGTGGGTGGCCCAGGACCATGGATGGAGCCTTGGGCAGCCTGGTGGGGGCACCCAGCCCACAGCAGGAGGGTTTGGGGGGGCCCAACTCAACCCAACCACGCTGTGATTCCACGATACGATTCTCTCAGTACAGACATGGTGAGATTTCCTTGCTAAGGAGGATGGCTCAGCCCCAAACCAGCACTGCTCAGCTCCAGCTGCTCCCACCAAGGGGTACCGGCGCCGTGTCTCGTTGCTGCTTCACAGCACTCATGTTCAGGTGTGTGTGTGTACTTTGCAAGAAGGGCTCACGCTGAAACAAATAGCCAAATGTTTTCTGTTAACAAAGCGTGTTGCAGTGGGATGGGACAGCTCTGCCTCTTGATGCACTCCTTGGGGTTTCTCCTGTATGCTTACCAGACTGCCCCTTGCATGCAAGCCTTATTTTATAACATTTTCCTATAAACAGAATTATTAAAAATCAGCAGGGGAAGGGAGGGCGGGGAAGGCTGCAGAAAAAAAAAGGGAGAGGGCAGAGCCATTCCTCCCAAAGCTGCGTGCTGTGCTGTCACGAAAGCAACCTGCGTGCTGCAGCCCACATCTGTTCACCAGGGGAATTAGTGCTTGCTTCCCGTGGTCACTGACCCAACATTGCATTTCTGACATCTGCAATCACAGCTCCCAGGACATCAGTGCTGGGTGTTTGCCACTGTCCGGTGCAGGGATGCTGCAGTGAACGCCTTGCCAATCGCCGGCTGTATTTCATCATCACAATGGCATTCTCAGCCCTCTCGGATTCGTGAGTTACAGTGATGTGTTCGTGGTCTTAGTGAAGCACTTCTGGATGCAAGATGTTGCTGCACAAAGCATTGAGGTCCTTGCAGGTCTGGTCTGTGGGCTCTGTGAAAAGCATGCGTGCACAGATTTGTGTATCCTACTTGTTTCTCCACACTCGAAGCAGTGTTTTGAAGCAGAGCTTCCAAATGAGCCTACGAACTTCTGCAAAATGA